GCTATACGAGAGGAAGGCGGATGGCAGCAAGGGCGACGTCGACGTATTCCGGTTCTTCCTGTTTTTGGGCATCACGCTTTTGGCCGTTGGAGTGGTCGGCACCTTCGCATTGCGCATAATAGACGAAGGAGAGATGATTGACGATGCTATTGATGAACTGGAGCGCTCTGGACTGTTGGCACAAGACGAGTTCTTCACGAGGGCTGCCGATATGCATGGTTATGGGACCATGAACACTCGAGATCTCTCCGATTCCACCTTTGACTTCCTTCAGACAGAAGCAGAGCAGCTGAAAATGAAGGCCGAAGAAGAGAAGAGGAAGAAAACATGGCTGCTGAACGAGGAGACTCGCCGCTATTTGACGGATTCTACCATGTGGTGGTTGGCGGCTGGCTTCTTCCTTGTTACCGGCCCCGGCGAAGCTTTCATCAACAATATGGGCACCATCATTGGCACGCTTTCACCGCCTCATACCTCTGCCACAACCTCCCCAGCAACGCACGTCTCCATTGTCGCCATAACCTCGACTGTGGCCCGTCTCGTGACTGGCACACTCACCGATCTTCTTGCGCCTGTCGCAGAGCCCTACCAACACCAACGGGGACCTGACTCCGTGGCAAATTCGGTAGCTTCCCTGCCATCACGCCCGCGCAGACTCTCACTATCTCGAATCGTGTTTCTTCTGACCTTCGCCTTCATACTCTCTCTCGGTCAGCTCCTCCTCGCCTCCGGGCTCGTACAGAACCATGCCTCAAGACTCGCAGCAGTCTCGGCCTTGATCGGTGCAGGATATGGCGCGGTCTTTTCGCTCGCACCAATCGTGGTCAGTGTAGTCTGGGGCGTCGAGAATTTTGGCACCAACTGGGGTATTCTGGCTATGACACCTGCTGCGGGTGCTACACTCTGGAGCGCCGTGTACGCTACCGTCTACCAGAGGGCTGCTGAGAGAGGTGAGCCTGGTATCGAGAAGAGCAAGGAAGATGTTCTTTGCTATGGGAAGAGCTGTTATGCGCCTACCTTCTGGGCCATGGCTGTCAGTGTATGGATTGCGTGTGGTCTGTGGACTTACGCTTGGAGAGGGCCTGCCGGGTGGAAGAGGAGAGGCATAGCTGTGTAATGAATTCGCTTCATCGGGCCGGCAATGTACATATCATGATGATGGCTTATGGCAGCGTGCATTTGTGTTATTCCAGATTGAGCATTTAGAGCAGCGCAGATACCCGTACTAGTGGCAGTTGTGGGAGTTTCTGCTTGTATGCATATTAGTCAGGCGTTTTTTTTTTTTTTTGCGGAAGGCGCGGTCAAGACCTCTTCTTCCCTTTTGACGTGATATGCGATCAACTTCGCCCTACTTCTCCTCACCAAGTTGCACATTTTGAACCATTTGCAATGCTTAGGTGTGTTATTGTCAACACGTCAGACCTTCGAGAACGCCTTCTAGGCAGCGTAACTACTGGCCTTCGACCTTGATTGGTTCATGCAGGTGGGACGGCATGTCCTCGGCCTTGTGATAAACTCACGAATATCCTTTACTCCAATGCACGATCAGTCCTAGAAAACCCGACAATTTCTGAACCTCAAAATGACCAGGTACTCAGAGTGGACATGCGAGGAACCGGTATCTTCATCTGGATGTAGCAGCAAATGCGCTCACTACACAGCCTTTTCTCCGCTCAAGACACCATCACCAAAGAAACCAATCTTAAGCCTTGATATAGAGGACCTCAGAGCACGCAACATCGTGTATCTCACGATCATAGCAGCGGAGGCTGATGGCTATGCGCACAAGACAGCACATCCGGGACAAGACATTGAGTCACTAGAGAAGGTTCCAGGTCTGAAATGGGATGAAATCAGACGAAAGCATTACCGGACAGCACGAGACAGCTCACACTTCCTCTATGAGGATGGCACAGTTGTATTCCCTGTTGGGTCGGCCTCTTCACTGCAATACACCCCCTGGACTACGGCGGACTTTGAGTGTCGTAGATCCGTGCTTCATTATCGCGAAAGAACATCCTTTGTAGGATATCAATTCCGGGTCTTTCTACAATGGTGCTGGGTCGACTATGGGGATAATGGATCGAAGAAGTTTTGGAATTGCCTTGAGGGCCCATCAAGAGAAGGCCGCTTACTGTTCGAGGTTGGACTTCACTACAGCCCTTTCATCCGGTCCTTCTTCAAGGAAAGCAAGGATAAATTAGAATACTCTGACGTTCCCGGCAACGAAGCTGACGATCAACATCTTGAGTGCAGTCAAACCTCCCAGGCAGGAGTTGGGGAGCACAAGCAGCAAGAGGAGCAGATGCTAGGAGAGACTACCAAGGGTATGTTCTGCATTCCATATCTCCGTATGCAACTGACACGCAAAGGTGTAGACTACCCATTTTTCCAAGAGAGTCCAAATGTGAGTGAGAGCACGAAAATGCAAGCATTCGAAGTTTCAAATCGCCTAGCCATATTGGCAAAGAACGAGATCACAACGACGACCAAAGAAGGTGGGGAACAGGTAGCAAACGCTTTGTTCGTCGCTGTAGTGGGAATCTTTGGTATAGCCGGTGGAGCTGCAAATGTAGCAATGTGGTGGTCCGGTCGCAGAAAAGACAGGCGTGAGAAGAAGGAAGACGGGCAAGATGACGCCAACCATCGAGCCGACTCCGCAGACTCAGAAGCAGACCCAGACTCTGATAGCTCAGCGAGAAATCAACCCCCCTCATCGAATGAAGAAGGGAGCGACCACAGTTCCCCGGGAACTTCCTCTTCATCGGAGAGCCCTGACAACTCTACCATATCTTCGCAGAGCAAGCTCCCACCACGCACTGCACAGAACCGAACGAGCGGGTTCTCGAAAGATCAGAGAGTAAGAAGGGATAATCAGATGTCGGTTCATACAGTTGCAATAGGAAAAGCATCCAGACAGGACTATGGACAACAACATGTGGTTTCGCGTGACGACCGGATCAGCCAGCAACTTCTCAAAGACTTAGCATCATGGGAAGAAGAGGCCGAAAGCCGTCATGTCCAGAAGGTTCTTGAGTGTATTGAGAACCTGGAGCGTTGGGAGATGGAGCATCGTGCGTCCCGCCCCGAGTGACTCTGGTTATTAGGAACTGCATCGCCGTTCGAATCAACGGAGCTTACTGGCTATTTGTTTCAGCGGGCTGAGCAAGCTCTAATCCTATTCAGAAATCTCTCCTTAAGACCGACCTTGTCTCGTATTCGGGTTCTGAATAGGATTGAGGTTCAATGTCCAAGGTAGAGGCACCGCAATGCTTTGAACAACATTGCCCGAAGGACGCACCTGGGAAGGCTGACCAATCAGCGACTTTTGACTCTCGCGAGCTTTCCCTATTAGGGGGATCGCCAACCTGGCTACATCCAAGCTCCTTCGCCTACACCAAGCTTAGCCTCCTGTCCACCAGCAAAGCACACTTTTTACCAAGTCCAAGGAAGTCGTGCGCAGCTCTTGTTCTGAAGGTTGATTTTAAGCTAGCGGAAGTCTGCCTCGTTCACATGTTTGCAAACCTTTCAGCGCCTCAACTAGCCCGAACACTAGATCCTCTTCGCTTGGCATTGCAGGGCGGTGCTGGTCTTGAATGTGTGGACCTCAGCTCGTATCAGCGATTTACACGGATCTGTATGATGTCGTGCAATGAGGGGCAAGGCTATGTCCTACCCTAGGAGCGTCGATCGGCTGAGTGGAAAGTAGATGAGGCACAAGAGTGGCGGTACTGCTACTAACACACGACAATCCAAGTTTTATGGAGGACGTGCTGCAATCGAAGTAGTACTTTGAGACAACTAAGCCTTCATTGGTACGACAGCGTTGAGGTATTTAGACTTCTCGATCCCAGCCGCTGTTTAGTCAACAGGTTCAGCGTCTGGTCATTCCCGCACGCCATCATTCAGGCTTTCTTGAGAATCTTCAGGTCTCGAGGACTCACGCCATTCCCCAATATACTCTCTCATCATTCTTACGATACATTCACTTGAATGATGGGCGTCCTCCGCGCCTACACACACCCCAACGACTCCCGCTGGCGCGGTCCCCAACGCCACGCTTACACCATCCTCCTCACAATAACCGTCTTCGTAACCCTAATCTGGATCTTCTTCATCGCCGATCAAGCCTACTCCCGCGTCCTCGACAACCAGTACCAGAAGCTAGCCCACAAACACAACGCAGACGCCGAAAAGGGTATCTACTACGAACCGCCGACTTACCCACCTGTACGCTGGCATGCAGGAACAGAAGGAGAAGTCGCCGATGGTTGGACTTCGTTCTTCTTCAGAGCCTTCCTCGCGCTAGTCCCAGACACTATTCATCTACCAATCGCACATATCCTCCTACATAAGAACAAGCTGCATCCCGTTGGCGCGCTCGTTTGCGGCGTTATATTCTTCTGCCTATGGGTCGACAGCGCTTTGTGGGGGATCTTTACGACAACTTGGTCAGAGTATTACAATAAGGATAAGAACGCTTGGGATGAGCTTGCGAATATGGGTAGTGCGCTGCAGGTTGTGACGGCGCTGTTATATTTGGCTTATATGGGGTACAGTGCTAAGGCGGTGCATGAGTGGAGGAAGAATAAGGGAGATAGGGAGGCGTTTAGAGCGGGAGTGGCGCATGGGCTTGAGCTGGCTGGTGTAAACAAGAATGGACAGGAGAGGAGGAGTCATGTTGAGGCTGCACCGTCCTACGCAGTCGTGTGAGGAGGCCTTTGAGAGAGAGGATTGGAGGAAGGGAGATGGATGCTATTGCATCACGATATCTATTAATGTCTAATATCTAATAACCACCACCAGCACATACACCGAAGAACTTGTTACGAACTTCGTATGATCAAATAGTCTTAATATCTAATACCTAATGAGCAAAAAATCAAAATTTTTCCCCTCGATTAAGAGACCTTGGATACTCCAAATCTCCTTCATCTCTAATGACCTCCACGAAAGAGGCAAGTACGTAAGTAAGTAGGTAAAAACGAGCAAAAAGAAATTGGACACGCCATGACTCGAACGTGGAATCTCTCACAGAAGCCCCTCGCCGCGCTCAAACCCGTCACAGGCCAGCCACTTAAAGGTGCGCTGTTGCAAGCCGCCTGGTCACTTTCGTTGTGAGCGTCTTACCATTAGACCACGCGCCCTTTGATGTGTTTGATGAGAAGTATTCGGAGATACTGGGTAGATAAAGATGGGATGGAAGGAGTGAGATGGAAGGTGCCCAGGCTAAAAAGGGGAAGTGGCTCGAGGCGTGAGGAAGGAGCGGTATGGACGCGACCAACCAACCACTCTTGCCAATCAAACAGGCTCGATGATCATATCGTAACTCCTTCCTGTTGATTCTTCGAAGTTCTAACAAAAAATAAATAAATAAGAAGTATTGCAACAAGCCATCACTCAATTGTCTCTCTCACTCCGACCACCGCGTCGCAAATCGAAGAAAAAGCAGCTAAGATGCGTTCAGTTTTCTTAGAACCAGCAAAAAGAATTGGACACGCTGAGACTCGAACTCGGATCTCTCACTTCACAGCAGCCCAGCGAGTTTGCGGTTTGTGCCAGCCACGTAATGGTGCGCTGCCCGCGGTTCCGCTGTTGTCGGCGCCTTGGTGTGAGTGCCTTACCGTTAGGCTACGCGTCCTTGGGTTCGATCTGATTTAAGATGATAGTATTCTTGATGGGTGTATCTCGATGAGATCAATGTGCTGTGAAGCTAAAAGGAAAGGGGGCAAAGTGGATAGGAAGGGGATGGAAGAAGTTGAACTAGAAGTGGATAGATTCAGCGAAGAAGCCAAGAGCTATGAACTACTTGCTCGACGATTCCATAGATATTCAAGAAATCTCCGAAATTTGAACATGGGTGTCTTTCTGCTATATCATTGGTATTCCAGTGGAAGATGCTACGCCGTACAACCGACCATCGAATTACCTGCATGAAACGAATCAGGAGATCACGCTGTGAGACATTACACAAAGCTTAGTCCGACCTCACACTACGTGGATCCCCAACAACAATACAAATTGCATACCAAAGTCTCGTGACAAGAAAATATTATTCTTGAGATCTAACACTACTGGTATATCGACTAACGAAACGCCATGCAAAATTAAAGCGCGCCAACGCAAGTCAACAGTACCCATCCGAGGTATCATGTGTTCCATCATATATCATCCAAAAGAGCGTAGCTATCATCCCAATGTAAAAGGAAAAAGGGCCTGCTGCCGTATGCAATGCCGGGGTATCAAGATCGTACGAAGCGAAAGTGTGCAGCCAACCGTCCGCGCCCAAACCAAAACTCCAAAGTATAATGCAGCGAGTGTCGTGAAATTTCCAAGATAAGCGCCCTCCTGGTATATGTGCGCCATCAAACCCGCTCACTAGGTTGAACGGGCCGACTCATCGCAGCCTCGATAGCCTCAAAGCTCTCCCTCCGACTCTCATCACCCACTTCTCCTGACGTCTTGTCGGGACCAAATTCTTTCTGTCGCAACTCCCAGCTCCCAACTCTTTCGTGGGGTGTCTTCCTTGTGTTTTCGCCTCCGAAGCTGACGATGCCCGCTGGTGCGACACCATTCTTTGGTAGACTTAGATCGGCATCAGATGCCAACTTCGCAGAGCCTTTGAAGCCACCAAGACTCGAATTCTTGTCGTGCTTATTGACACGATGGAAGCGAATACCACCAATCAACATCGCGATAGCAAAGATTATACCTGCAACAGCGAGTGTGACGACGGCGCCAATGACACCTCCCACAGCAGGAGAGATCTTGTAGTTCGAACCACCACCACGGCCAGTCATTGTGATGTTGATCGTCGAGTCGTCGACGCCCCAGCAGAAGAGTGATCCAGAATCGCACTGCGAGCACCAGTCCGATAGCTGATTCGTCATGATCCTGCTCATCATATCCTGAAAGTCTAGCCATGGCATATCTGTACCTGAAGGACCGCGACCAAACATAGGGTACGACTGTAGCGAGTCCTGGTAGTTTGTGCCATTCTGGAAGTAGAAGCGTACCCAAAGGTCGTCGGCGTTGGACGGAAATGCGCTGTTGTTTTGACCCATGCTGAAGAGCTCAAAGATCATCGCTGAGCCAAAGGGGGGGATTGCGCGGAAGTGATCGTTGATGAAGTCGAGCATCATGAGAGAGAACAGCGAAATGAAAGGCTCTTGCTCGCCGAAGAGGAGGGTGAGCGAATGGAATTCCACTGGCTCTTCAACTGGTTGGTCGTTAAACATGCCTGTGCCGTTCATGACGACCTTTTGAAGGGAGCCGAGGATCATAGCGGCTACCGTGCGGCCAGCCATTGCGCGGTAATCGTCATCAGACGAGGAAGCCGAAGTGTTGCCCCAGTAATACCATGCCTGGGTGTCCGCAAGGTAGCGTAGCTCATCGTACACTCCAGCGTAGGACGAATCGTTTTGGAGCATCGCGAAGATTTCATTGTCGTGGACGTACTGGTACGAGAGGTAGTCATAGATCTCGACGGCATTGATGTAGTCGCTAGCGCCATGTCAGAGTTGTTCCAAGCCTGCAATCGCATGGCTTTACTTACATTTGATCCTGCGACAAATAACCGCTAAACAGGGATGCATTCAGCGCTTGGTAGAAGTCCTGGCTCTCGGCCTTTGTCTCCAGAAAATCCTCGGTGGTCAGATACATCATACTCTCTGCCTGCGAAGCTGGACAGTTGTTCGTTCCCGCGGTGTAAATACTCATAGCGTCAAGGCCACTTGCAACGTAGATATCGGGATATTGATAGCCATTGAGAGGGGAATCGATCGCTGTTCCATTGGCAAGGATAGCAGTTGCATCGGCGAAAGGTCCGTTCCTCGTCAAATTGATCGAATATGGTGGGTACAAGCCTTGCATAAAAGACTGCGCTGCTGCCACCAGGTACGCGGCGTCTCCAGTTTGGATGTAGAGTTGATCATTGTTCAGAATATTTGGCGCCATTCCATCAATCTGCTGCTGACCGAGCCTTGTGCCAGCATCTATATCGCTGATGTATCGTCCTCTAATATTCTGCCCCAAATCGAACATCTGATTCGCTCCCAATGCGGTGAGGACTGTGGTGCCATCGACCACGGTAGGCGTCCGCTCGCCAGTTCGGATGAAGTTGACAGCAGCATGGAGCTGGTACGACTTGTTGTCGTCCTGAGCTTCAATAAGCCAGGCCGCAGCCAGGACGGCTAGGAAGAGTGCAAGCATGATGGGAGGGCTTCACGGTGACAAGCTGACGCTCACGAGAGAGGAAGAGAGCAACGCGGCTGAGGGTCATGAGCGGGACGGTACTCGATACTTATTCTTTGGTAGCGCCCAGGTCGCATGCAGCATCCCATGCTCAGGACAAGGCGGCAAGGCCTAAAAAGCCCATCCGAGAGCTGCTAGATTGCTTATCACGGGCACAAAGAGGCTGCTTGGCCGGGGTTTGGGGCCTGCTGAGATGGATAGCTCGGGACAGCAACAGCTCGAGCTGCAGATGGCGGGGTATAGCTGCACAACAGCCGCTGTGTCATTGGTTGTCTTTGCCTGCCAGAGCTCCCGCCCGCATCTGGCTAACGAGCACACCATCGAGCACTCAGAAGCATCTCACACAAAGAGCGGTTGCATTCCACCACACACACCGCATCCGGACAGCAGCACTTTCCCAGCATGCTGAGACTGAAGCTGCGATGCCGCCGGCGCAAAATGAGGAGGCTGGGCTGCGGGGGTGCTTGGGCCAAGCTGATGTCGTTCACTCTGGCTTATCGCTATCAAAGGTATTTAGGCCCAAGATGGCAGGACTAAGCATGTGTATAGCATAGCGCGGGAAGCCCAATATTCCTTCGCCGTAACAGAGGTCAAGAGGTCACGGCACCGCTCACACGTCATCGTCCTCAGCCTGGCCCTGTCCCCATATCCCTCCAGCCGCTCAGGAACGTCGCGATCATCTGTCGGTGTAAGCTGCCTGCAGTGATCGCGATGCGCTACTGATAAGCTTGATCGTAAGCTTGAGCCGTGTTGGTTCCTGCATTGCTATCCACCAAACCGAAGCTGCCTTGTTTTCGAGGCTACGAATGCCGCTGTAGTCTTGAATTATTTAAGTTATGATCTTGCAAGCAGGGCTGTAGGCGGTTGACCGTGAGCTGCGCGTCTTCCACATCTCGCTTGGCCGTTCAACCCCGCCAGATAGGTCCCACAGCCCACGAGAATGTAGTGACCGGAACGCGGTGTGAGTTGTGAATTGGCACGCGTAAGAGATTATCGAAAAGACTACTATAAGGTCAGAGACATTGTAACAGCGGGCGATCACCAACATTACATATTCGGCCTGCTCGAATGAGGGTCAGGATATGCTGATAGTGAGGAGATGCCTGCGACAATGATCTGCATTGCGAACAAAGTGCTTCTGCTCAATGGTAGGTTGAAAGCTGTTTAGATCAGGTCAGTAATACACTCGGACTCAAGAGACATGCAGATAGAACAACTGATCTGACCCATCCAGGCCATGTTTCATTGATCCTGAAAAGCTCCAGTGCTAAAAGAACACCCGCTGTTCAGGGGTCAAGGCATCATAGACAACCGGGCAAGCCCAAGTCAATAGCATTGACTCTACAATCCGAATTGGAAGAAGAGGAACCCAGCCAGCCAACACATGGTCCTCACATATACAAGACTTCCAAACCCTTGGAAGCACCGGCACGAAGAGAAGTAGGCTCATAGATACCGTATCAGTGATACTGGATATCGTCCGTGTGGCCTAGCAACGAGCTTTTCGGAATAGTGAACCTACTGTGGGCTTTCGCTAGGCATGAGGACGGTTCCAGAAGCATCTGGTAAAGCGGACGCCATCTAGTGCCGTGCTGTTGGCCTCCTCCAGGATTAGCCCAACTCTGACATGATTCGGCGGGCCTTTGCACCAAAGGTCTTTAAAAACCGGAGGCCAAAGGAAAGGAGGAGAGGTATTTGGATCCTGTGGAGGTGGCTCCGTCGGCTCTCTAGCTCAGCTGAACCGTGACGCTTAGTATGTACTCCTAGTTCATGAAGGGCAGAATGAAACTCACTACCAGAATTTACACTCTTAGCCCCGGTCAACGTAATAGCGATCCAAAGGGATTGAATAGCCGGTACAGGTGCACCCATCATGATCTGAAGGATACTCCTTCACGCAGTCGTCATAGTCTGTCTAGTTCGCTTCCCGTAACCAATGACGGCTCACCTCCCCCTCGAACGTCCACTCGAACCAGCCACACGTGCTTTCTCCGAGGCGAGGCGGTGGTGGATCATCGTCGCGCATGACCAGAGGGCCAGCAATGACGAGCACAGAGAAGGCCGCAAAGAGGAGACTGAAGAGCTTCATGTTATCGATTCGAAGTCGGGGATTGTAGTCGTGAGGAAGGAGAATGTATAAGTAACGGTCGATCGCAAAGGGTCGAGGAAGTAAGCGGTGATCATCCAGCACGGCGATTTTCTGATTCAAGCTCCGGTTGCGGTGATTGCCGCGCTGTCGTCGTTTGTTGGTGAGAGAATCGCCAGTCAGGATAGGTTCACCAACCAACGCAGCCAGCGGTTGCCATACAACTGGCCCGATACCAGTGCGTGATGGCTACGTCTCCCTTTGATTAGGACAATTGAAAGGAGCGATATAGCGATCGTGAT